CCCCCGCCTCCCTTCTTGACCCTCCCTCTTTCCCCCTGGCCTCACTTAGAGTGCTTCTCAACCCTCTTGGTAAGTTAACCCCCACAGTCCCGACTCAGCCCCTGCTCCAGACCAGGTGGGGGTTGGTCCAGCCCCCTTTGGGAAGTCAGGCTGCATCTGTTCTTCTCCGAGCTTCTGGGAGTACCTGGCAGCTCTCGGGCACAGAGGCCCGAGGCTCCGGCTCTGTGGCCAGCATGGACTCAATCTGGGGTGCTCCCCCAGGTCAGCGCCCAAACCTACAGCAGCCCAGGGCACAACACACAGACCAGGGAACAGGGCCATGCTGGGAGCTGCCGCCCCCGACTCCCCACCCCGCAGTGAGGCCAGTCGGAGCCACTCTGCCCAGAGGCCTTCCCTCTGGGGGCTCGGGGCTCCGACAGACCCGGCCCCAGCCAAACACCCCTGTCAAGGGAGGGGAAGGCTGGGACAGAAGCACAAAGGGGCCTAAGTCCTGGGCCCTCTCATCAGAGATGGGGAGGGGGTAACCTCTGGAGGGGAGGCACTCAACCCGGGGCCCAGTGCTCCAAGACCACCCGCGGGAGCCCACAGCACTTCTGTGACCTGTTCCCTCCCCGCCTCCCCACCCCCGTCCCTCCTGCCGCCTCCACTCTTCTCCTGGCCCATGCCCACCCCTCCCAGGCCTCCTCCCCATGCTCCCACCCCCATCGCAGGCAGAGGGGAGCCGGCCACCTCCCAGCCCCACCGCCGCCCACCCCACATTAACTGTAAGTTTGTAAGAAGAGTGACTTGTTGGTTTAATAAATCTCTAGTTACTGTAAGAATTTATTGGCTGCTGTAATGCATTTATTAGTGACCCGCCGTTCATAAAGAGTGCTAGCTTTCTCCAGCGCCAGCGTGATGTGTTGCATCAGCACCCACATGACACAGGTCCCCATGCTCCGGCCCCGCCGGTCCCAGGGCCAGGCCTGCGGGCCACCTGGCCGACGGGCACACGCTTCTGGGGGCGGCTGGCCTGACCCCGCTGACCCCTTGGGATGGTCACGAGCCCACCTTC